TGTTGTTGGCGTATAATTTACGTACCATAAAATCCACCTGCCCGAAGTGTACAGATTGAGGAAGTACCATGAACGACTTTGTCTTTAAACAGTCCATCCTGGGAAACTCAGCTCGACTGTTAGACACTCCCCCACTCTACCTGCTGCCTAGGCAACCACTGTGGACTAGCTTTAACGAACATCCCATATGAAGATACCGTGTAAGCTTGGCTCCAGGGTCCTGCTTCCTTCACCTCAAGGACCAGTCCCAGGCTGTGGCTGGTTGGTTTTTTTTCCCTCTTTTGAGGGGGCTGCCACCCAGCTCCCAAATCATGACACAGAGGCTTGCTGTTACTTATAAATGCCCGGCCTTAGCTTGGCCCGTCTCTAGCCAGCTTTTCTCATCTTAAATTATCCCACCTTTTGCCTCTGCATACACTATGTAATGTATGAATTAATGTATGATTTTCATTCATGTACTGCAATCAACTCAAAATTAATCATCATCCACGTGGTATAGAAGGAGAATCACCTGAGAGAAGCCCATCATTTAGAAAGAGATGTTTGTATTGTCCATTAAATTACTTCATCTGGAAGATGAAAAGTGTCACTTACTTCCTATATGTCTACATGCCAAGTAGAACTGTAGTAGGACTGCATACATATGAAATAGAGAAACTGAATTATAAGTGGTATTTGGTGAAAAATAATTAAAAGCTTGCTTCAAACTGCAGAATGTCATTTAAGCATATAATGATAAAGAGTATTCCACACTAAGGAGGATTTCTTATCGACAGACTCGGTCAGGCAATGCATTATGGGAAATGATTTGAAAAGATCAAAAACCTCACTCAAACTCTATTGATCCATGTGAGCAATAGAGTTACATTTCATCCATAATCTGATGAAAGGTGAGGGACATCAATAGGTGGTCTACTAGTCATTATGGAAGTGTGCATTTGAATTTCTCTTTTGTCCCTGTATAACTTACGGAGATCTATTCCCCATCACCCCTTCATCCTCAGTTTACTCTTCCCTCCCTACGAACTTCATCTCCACTGCCTCAAACATGCTCCTTCTCCTGGGTCCTGAGGCCAAACCATTTCAGTCTTACCTTCTGCTCATTCCAACTAAGGAGGCTGTGGTCCCTCATTTCTAACTTCCTCACTGCTAGAGGATGGCATTACTCTTCCCTCCCTACAAACGTCATCTCCACTGCCTCAAACATGCTCCTTCTCCTGGGTCCTGAGGCCAAACCACTTCAGCCTTCCAGCCTGCTCATTCCAACTAAGGAGGCTGTGGTCCCTCATTTCTAACTTCCTCACTGCTAAAGGACGGCATTACTCTTCCAGCACTGCCCATCTAGAGTTGGTTCCCAACTTAGGGGCTTAATCGTGAGTATTGAATTCTCAGCCTGTTTAAATTCACATCAGTATTTCTCTACCCATTGGGGACTGTTATCTGAAGGTGTGGGACTTTCGTTCATGCTGCATTTGTTTAACTCAGTGAAGCTGTGATCTTTGCCTGTCTAAAACACCTGGTGGTCTAATGAAACACTGCATGACCAACAGCGGGGCAGGAGCAAAGGATAGGCAGGGCTGGCAGGGAGAGGGAATAAATAGAAGGAGAAAGGAGGAAGAGAAGAGAACAAGGAGAGGAGGAAGTCAGGGGCCAACCACCCAGCCACCCAGCCATCCAGTCACCCAGCCACCCAGTCACCCAGCCATCCAGCTACACAGCAGGACAGGGAGTCATAGGAAAGTAAGACATACAGCAGTAAGAAAAGGTAAAAGCCAGAGGCAAAAAGGTAGACGGGATAATTCAAGTTAAGAAAAGCTGGCAAGAAACACGCCAAGCTAAGGCCGGGCATTCATAAGTCATAATAAGACTCCATGCGCAATTTATTTGGCAGCTGGGTGGTGTGCCCTCATAAGGCCAAAAATCCAAAGGATCAAAGATAATACATTTAAAGCAACTACCCCCCTCTTTCCTTTCAAACTTTGCAATGGCTTTCTCAAAAAAAATTCAGGAACAATCCCTATAAAATAAATATCCTGCATATATAATTGGTGTTGGGTTGAGCTAATAATGACCATTGCTACTCTGTGTGTTACTGTGAAAAAATCATATTTTTAGTCTATACACATTTTCTCCATTTTCAAGAATAACATTGGATACTTCAAACCTTTAGCCAAAAACATTACTGTGAAATGAAATTTCTGATGCATATGAGCATCTAAATTGTACAATTAACTTTAAGTTCAATAAGGAAAATATATCCACTTGAAACATACAAACATGAACACCATGTCTTGGCATTCACCAGTAAGCAAAGAGGAAGAACTTCATTAATCATTGGGTTGTTTAAAGCAATTCCAAAGTAAGAAACTACTCAGATCCGCTAGGATTAACTTTGTAAAGATAAACAACGACCTTATGTCAATCTAAAAGAAGAAAAACAATCCATATTACAAGAGATACCAGTGATGGTAAGCAGAAACACCAGTGGACCCAGGCAAAACCTCAAAACAATAAAGCTTTTTTTGAAAAAGTCTAGAAGTGACTTAAAAACTAAACAGAGGTACCGTGTTACTCAGCAATTCCCACTGTAAGTCTTTGCCAAAGAGAAATGAGAAAGACATTTAAGAAAAACTCATACACAAGGTTTACGGACACGCTATTCGTTCTGTCCCAAACGTGAAAAGCACCCAATGCCCATCAACCAATGAGTGGCTAAAAAAATGCCGCATCTATTCAATGGAAGGTTGTCTTTGGAAAGAAGAATGGAACTTTGATATGTAAGGCAACATGGCTTAGCCATAAAAAGTTCAGGCTAAATGAAAGAATCTAGGAAGAAAACATCACACAGTACATGACTTGATTTAACATGAAATGCCCAAAATAGGGAAATCCAGAGGCATGAACTAGAAGACAGGATCAGGTTAGTTACGTAGGACTGTTGGAAGGAAAGGAAAATGCATTGTGGCTGAAACATGGGGAGTGAGTTGGAGAGTACCTCAGTGGTTAAGAGCAGAAGATCTCGGTTCCATTCCCAGTGCCCACACGGCAACCTGAAACTACCCTTGACTTCATTTCCAGGTATCTTATGACCTCTAACGGCTTTCTGCCAGCACCAGGAATGTCTGTGATATACAGATATGCATGCAGGTATAACACTCATACACATAAAGTAATGAATATTATTTAGAAGAAAAATGGACTAATCAAGTGAAGGAAATTTTTTTGGAGATAACAGAAATATTCTACAAGTGATTTTGGTCATGGATGGAAAAAATGACATTGAAAGCTATAAACTCTGGTATTCTAAATGGGAATTGATTCATTTCAATAAACCTCTTATATTAAAATTTTACATGAGAACAAGAGTGGGCAGAAATGTCCTTTAGGGGAACACATTTCCAAGTTAGTGCTTTAAATACCAAAAAAAAAGAAAGAAAAAATTACACTCAGTTTTCAAAACAAGTTTATGAAAAAGTTGGTCCAGTGTTTCTATCAATTAGGTGCCAAAACTAACAGAGGAAAAGAACATGATCTTATATGCCAGCAGCACTTTCTTCCTGTCAGAAACTTAGAAAATCAGCTGAGACTGCTAGTTAATATTATTGGAAGGATCTTGTGCATACCAATTATGCCCAAAGTCATTATTTTTGGCAGTCATGCTATAAATCCTGACTCAGGAGAGATAATTTGGTACCATCTGCTCTCAAACTTGAACATTCATCAGATTCACCTGGAGGATTGACAGAATACAGATTGCTGGATGCCTCTTTCAGAATTCCTGATGCAAGCAGGATTACAAAACAGACTCTAATTCTGCTGGCCCAGGGACTGAACATCCTAAAACATCTCATGGTTGTTTCTTAATCTTCTTAGTTAGCTCATGGTCATATTTAAGACAATCTGCCCTGGTTGATTCAAGCACACTTGTAATAAAATGGCCAAACCTGTCACAAGATCCTTTGGTACCTTAGAATTTCTACAGTTAAGCAACTGTTGATGGGATGGAGAATTATTGTGTAAGACAGAATGAGTAGTGTATGGTGCATACCAACTCTTTCTTGTTTGTTTGTTTGAGACAGGGTTTCTCTGTGACTTTGGAGGCTGTCTTGGAACTAGCTCTTGTAGACCAGGCTGGTTTAGAAGTCACAGAGATCCACTTGTCTCTGCCTCCCGAGTGCTGGGATTAAAGGCGTGCGCCACCACTGCCCGGTGGCACATACCAACTCTTGCTGGAAAGATCCAGCAAAATTTGGGCCACCGTGGAAGCAGAATTGCAACACCACAAAAAAGTAGAGCACAGAAGAATTAGGTTGATATCAGAGGACTAGAAAAGATCCATAAAGCCTAGCTCGTTGGTTGCAGAGGAGGGCAATGACGTGAGACTCCCTAAGACATCACCATATCCTAATTACCACCCAGCTCTTGAACTACATTCTGCTCTGTGCGTCCCAGTGACTAGACAGCTTGGGATACATGTGAACTGTCTGGTGTCTGTGCTGTGGTCTCCAAAGTCCCAAGAGCTTCACCGTGAGGACAAGATACCCTCGTTTCTCCCAGCTATCTCCTGTAATAACCTGTCTTTACTTGAGACAGTTTGACTGTTTAAGTTTCCCTTCACGTCTGCTTGACGATTTTATATTTTAAAAAGTACATGATGGAAGGATACTCAGCTCTAACAAGACAATTCTTCATGCCGACGCAAGCTTATTGTGGATTTCTAGCTAAGGGTTCATTACGAGATGCTGTGAGCAGAAAGCCGCATGAACTAGGGTGAAGAGAGCAGTCAGCTCATACTCGGGTTCACTTGTCGCCATGTTTTCTAAGTAAAAAAAAAAGCTAAGGTCATTTGTTTGAAGAGTAGTGACCTCTGAAAACCGAGAAACAATACAGCAAACACATTAGACAAAGGAGAAAAGATGAAGAAGATAGTTTTGGTCTAAAAACTTTTAACTATTGAATTAACACTACCAAACAGGAAAAAATACAATTTGGAAACCAGATCAGCGTATCTCTCTTGAATATTTATACTTGAGGTTAATACATGCACAGTAGCCACTTGATAAATGTTTTGCACATGGATTGAGCCAATATACGGTTGTTCAAAGAACAAATGTTAGTCAATACACTGTTTAAATGACTGATTCCCAAATTTGTGCCAGTAATTTCCATCTCGTTGTAATTCATTCCACGAAATTAGCATTCTATACAAAATAATTGGGGACGTATTTCCTTGGACATAGCATACACAATTACAGGAAATGTTAAAAAGAAGTAATTGGAGTTGGAGATGTGGAGTTAGTGCTGGGGGTGAACATACAGTTATGAGAAAGGTTCAGAAGCAGAAAGCACAGCCCACACAGTTCAAAGTGCAAAGGAAGGGTTCTTGGAAGAGGCTGAGTTATCATCGTTATGTTTTGTGATGATTTGATTAATTAATTCAACTCCATGAGTTCTCCCTACTGACCACTGATTTATGAAAACATAAAACTGGAGGGGAATAACAACTCTTCCCTTTATTCACTGGGAATAATAATAATAATAAACCATTTCATAAGATGATTTTTATAACACCAAAAACACAGGAAGGACATCACCGCAGAAAAAGGAGAATTACAAGCATGAATCTTCTATCATCATTATTGTCCAGTTCTGGACTAGGTATTGTCAATGACTTCTTCATGAGTTCAGACTTGGTATGGACTTGGTAACTAACATCACATCTGGCCTTCAGAAGTGGAGAGAGTTCACTTCCTCAAAATGTCCTACAGCCTGAGGCAAATATCCAATAATAATTTATGTATATATTTGTCTTATTTTCTTGATTATCTCAAGTAAGCCACAGTTTTAGCTCATCCTGGGAAAACATCCACAAACTTCCTCTGTGAACAGCACCAAATGCCTGGTACAGTCCACAGATCAAGCTTCTGGCTAATCACTTCACCTCCTGCTAGATTTTTATTTTCATGCCAAGAATCTTCAACCCATGCTATCTATACATGCTGTGTTCCAATGCCTGCCTGAGAAACAGACTGAAGGCTCTGGCCATTTGTTAAAAAAACACCTGTTGCCGGGCGGTGGTGGCGCACGCCTTTAATCCCAGCACTCGGGAGGCAGAGGCAGGCGGATCTCTGTGCGTTCGAGGCCAGGCTGGACCGATAGCCTCTGAAACAATACAGAGAAACCCTGTCTCGTAAAAACCAAAAAAAAAAACCTGTTTGCAGGGGATTAAGCAGGATGATCCCATCTCTCTTGTCTCCAGCGTTTGTCTAGTGTCTCTCCTATGTCAGACGTCTAGTGTGTGCTTTTAATGAGAAAGCAAGTGTCATGTCTCTCCTTACACAGGGGATGGTGGTAGCGATTGCTCAGTTCTTGACTTCCCTTGATAAGTAAGCATTTCATATGCCTGCTTTGTTCTTTAAATGTTTAAAGACTGGATTGGGGCAAGTGTAGAAGGCTGTCAGGAAAAATCCTTCCTTCAGAAAAATTGCTTTCTACTAGCCATTACACGAGCACCTGTAAGGAATAAGCACAATGAAAGTTTTTACAAAGCAATAAATTAACTGATGCATTTTAAAGTTTACATAGTATTATTTTTATAATCATTTTGAGTATATAACTAGCTTTATAAAATCATTAAAAGGAATATTAGGGGTTGGAAAAAATCATCACAATTTCTATGAACCCGATTCTATACAAATTCTGCTTCTGAATTTAATTTTAGGACGCTATAAAAACCTCAGGGAAAAACGTCTAAATGAATATACACTCAGGGAGATCACTTAATTTGAATTTCAATTTCTTTTGTCTATTCATGAAAGCACTTTGTACCAGTAATCTAAAACCAAATGGGAGTTAACCCAATCTAATTTTTTTAAAACTATGCTCCAGTAGAACTGATTCTTGATTACAGCAAGAATCTACTAAGGGAGAGGGCATAAGGCTGAGAAATAGTGTGGAACAGTGGTACCCAAACACCATGAAGTATGTCCTTCAAAAGATGGTAGACACAGAACTCATCCGGAACAGTGGTGCTCACCGTCCATGAAATATGTCCATCAAAAAATGGTGGACATGTCAAGGTCTCATCTTTCAGCTCACAGCAGAAACAGGGAGGCCTGGTATAACTGGCCTCTGGGAACCAAGGACTGACTGGAGATGATTCCATTCCTTCTTGCTATTGCCCAGTTACTCTGAGTAACTTCTGAGCTATCATCAGCACTGAGGTAGCTAAGTCATACATTTTACTTAAAAGACCTGTAATTAAGGGGAAAATGTTGTATTTATAATTGCTTCAACTCCTCAAGCAAAATTCATGCAGCCTAAGTAAGTAGAGATGTCTGCATTTAACTTTACAAATTCTGAAAAATTAAGATACATTCAATGCTTCAAACCTAGTTCTGGAAAATGATACTCCTTAATACATGAAACTTACATTGGCAAATTGAGTGGTAAGACACTATGAATTCACTTTGACTCTAACAACACAAAGTCTGTCTAAACTACTATTAGAAAAATTTTAATTCTCTCCAGGAAAGAAAATGCAATTTAAAAAAATTCATAAATGCTAATTATGACTACAAAGCAGGACCAGGGAAGAAACAGTTGTGATTGTCTGGAGATGCTCAATAGACAAAAAAATGTAAAAGGCACAAAAACAAAACAAAATAAAACAAAAAAACAATGGAGCAAGTAGTAGTTCCTCTATATATAGGCAGCAGAAGACACACGCCAAATCAAAGAAGACTCAGGTAGGATGGATGTGTCTGTAACTTAAACAATCATTTTATCCAATTAAATTGTGTTGAAGTGTTTATTAACATAGTGACTCTAACAACCCCTTGGGTCAAACCTGTTGCAGGTACCATGAGACATTTCTTCTGTAGTCACAATCATAAAACATGACATCATCACTTTGGGCTGGAGCCAACCTGAACAAAATTCCAGTACAACAGAGGTTCCAGACCTTCTGCTTTTCTGTTCTGAGATAAATGCACACGCATACAGAACACCAAGGTGGGGAAGGGGTGGAGGTCAAGACTGTGTTCCTAACTTTCATCTTTAAGTACCACAAGTAAATCATATTTAGCACAAAAAATGTGTAGAATGGTTATAATCTCTTGGGTAGCATGCATATCTCTTAGGTTCTGTCTAACAGAGAGTCTGGGAAACAGGAAAGAACCTAAGAGATATGCATGGTACCCAAGAGAAGAGGAATGAGGCAAGATCCTCTGAACAGGTGGGGAACACGTTGAGGGGTGAGGGAGAGTGGGAGCTGGGAAGAAGAGAGGGGGCGAAGAGGAAGAAAGAGTAGGTCATGGGGGAACAGGAAGGTTGAGTGGGGGGTAGAATAGGGGGAAGAGGGAATCATAGGTTAGAAGACAGATCAGGCACCAGTGTGACCTCGAGTGATCTAAAGGGATGACACCAATTGGCAAGCTAAGCAATAGTGGAGAGACCACCTCGAATGCCCATTCCTGATAATGAACTTGATGTCTATAACCATCCTGGAGCCTTCATCCTGTGACTGATGGGAGCAGAGGCAAACACCCACAGTTAAACACTGAACTGAACCCAAGGAACCCAGTGACAGAGAGAGAGGAGCGACGAGCAAATTGGCAAAGAATGGGCTGGCAAAACTGGCAGAGACAGCTGATCTGAACAGGGGAGAGCTCTTGGACCCCAGACCGACAGCTAGGAGGCCAGCATGGGACCGATCCTGACCCCCTGAATGTGAGAGTCAGTGAGGAGACCTGGGAAACCCATGGGGTCCTGAGCAGTGGATCAGTGTTTATCCCTCGAATACTAACAGACATCGTGTGTCCATAACACAAAGAGGGTTGCTCTCTCAGCCTGGACTCTCAGGGGAGTGCCTGAACCCTACCCTGAGTGAAATGACAGACTCTAGATATCCCCTATGTGGAAGGAATTGGCATTAGGATGGGAAGCTGGGGGGGGGGATGGCTACCCTCTAACCATGTGTAGCCTCACAGCATTCTACTTCAACGCCATCTCCTCTGAAAGGCCATTCCTCACAAAGTCCGTCCATCCTCTAGGGATGGCTATTTGCTGCCCTATCAGTCTGCTTGATCGTCCTCAGGGAATGTATCACTGTCTGTCTTGGTAGAGCTCATCTATAGATTCTCAGTCATCCCAGGAACTGGGTGTAAGCTTCGTGAGATTAGAAATTTCTGTTTCCTTCACCATTCTAACCATGGCATCCAAAAGCACATGTTGACGCCACTTAGGAAAACATGCTGAAATAAATGAGTAGCAGTTATAAGAAATAATATACTATTGATGCTAAAATAATGTAGCTTCAATCTAGGTATCATTATATTTTATTAGTGCATCCCTTAAACTGTGTGATAATTGTTTTAAAATTCCTATTCATTCATAAACTAAATCCTCCTCAAGACTCTTCAATGAACTTAAAAGTGGAACATAAAAAAAAGGCTAAATTAATGAATGGGGTGAATTGTTCTTAGTGAATCTCCAATGTTGTTAGAAAGTATCAGGTTTCATTTCTTCAGTTGATTAAGCTGAAATTTATGTGAAAACTCTTTCCAGTAAAATTAAAATTACAACAAACAAACACAAAACCCAGTATATGACCAAAAAGATAGACAGAAGTGTGTTTTCTAGGTCACATATTGACGTAAAAAATAATTTTAATGACTTGACCGCCAAATTTATTTGATCATGCTGAAAAGAGCATGCCTCATACTACATAACTATTTTAATGACTGAAAGTCTATCATAACCCATTTATTACTTTTTTAAAATTAGTTTTCACTGTTCAAGCACCAAAAGCAACTTCTGGCTTTGAATGTTGGAATGGTCTAACTAGATTTATGTTACAGCTTCTGCAGTCTAAGAAATAATGGTATTATTAGTCACTAAACATTTTTGTAAGAGAATAAAGTATGACCACTACAAAATAAAGACAAAACATAATTCAACATAGTGATATATTCTTTGACCTATTCAATATTCAAAGGTAAAATGAACCTCCAGACCAATTACCTATCTTTGGAGTGTACTTGGCTTGGATGCCTATGTATTTTCCTCCATATTATTTGTGGCTTGGTGATGATTAAACACCTGCTCATAGTGACAGTGACCAGCTGCATGTCTGTGAAGGAAGGCTAGTCAAGCCTACAGGACTAGGCCCTGCCTTTAAAAAAGAGTAGATCTAATTAGTACCTGTGGGATTGAACCTGCAGCTTCAGACTCATTATCACAAGAAAGCAAAACCCTATCAGAATATCATGACTTGCAAACCATTCTCCATGTTTCATCTCTAGCTGGAATCACTATCAGTAATAAAGGAATGATTTTTTTTTCTGGGAGGCATATGTCAGCAGCAGTAAACTTCTGCAGAATGTAAGAGGCCCTGCATTTTTTCCACAGTGTCACAAAAAGTATTCTTTTTTTCATTTATCATTTGTTTTTTTCTTAAAAAATTAGAGTAGGGTAGAAGTTTATTCATAAGGAGAAATTCATATGGGGACCAGATTATAAATAACTTTAAATCTACTTGGAAGGTAGCCTAAAAACAATGAAAAAGAATGGCATAGAGCAAAATAAATAAAAAAATACATTTTTACCAAATTAGCTTTTGAGAGCAAAAAGTACTTAGGAAAAGTTCATGCCAGTTTTGACAGGCATCGGGATTTTAGATGAGGGTGGTAACAAGGGAATTTAGGGACCATTCTGAGAAGAAATAATAGCATGAACTTGTTCTATAAAAGAATCTTTAATGTACTGGAGGGCATGACCCATGGCTGCCATTTTCATCACTGCTGAATTTTCCAGGGCTTGGCTTAATAGCCAATATACATAGCAAAAATAACTGACCACCAAGTATAGGGAATGACATCAAAGACGGCCCCTGAATCACATGAACAAGATGTCAGAATTAGAGACACCCAGTGGACAATTTAATTTTTGCCTATGTTGAGGGTAGGCTAAGAAAAGATTAAGTGCCAGGTGGTGGTGGCACACACCTTTAATCCCAGCACTCAGGAGGTAGAGGCAGGTGGATCTCTGTGAGTTTGAGGTCAGCCTGGTCTACAGACTGAATCCCAGGACAGGCTCCAAAGCTGCACAGACACACTCTGTCTTAAAAAACAAACAAACAAACAACAATAAAAACAAAAAAGAAAGAAAAAGAGAAGACATTCATTCAAGTAAGCATATCCCACCAAAGACTGAAAATGCAGTCTTAGTCAGAAGAGAAAGGTCAATGCATGAGAGAGATGCTTGGAAATAAGAGGATACTACTCCAACCCTGAGGAATTCTTAAGGTTCCTTTGCTTGATAAACTATATGTTGTATTCTTATAGCAAAATATCCAATATGAGCTGTTTGTCAAAGAGATTTATTTATAGTTTGGGAGGTTAAAATTCCAAGTTTGGGTAGCCATATCTGGATCACCTCTGGTGAGGGTAGAATTGGCTGTGTTACACTTTGGCCAAAAGCCCAGAGGAAATAGCCAGGTGCAAAATGACTCAAACATTTGGAGTGGTCTTGCTTTGTAACAGCCTGCACTTGGGATAGAAAATATTTGTGGCAGATAGGGAAAAATTACTCAAGAGGCTTCCTATAAATGTTAGAGTTTCAAACGCTATTTCTAAAGGCACATGGTTGAATCACAAAACAGTCAAGGATTCTAAAAATACAATATATTCATGTGAAGAGTCAATTCTCAGCCAAATTGGGATTAATAGTTTTAATAACGGGGAGATTTCAACTTGAAAACGGCTTGAAAAGGCATGTTGTGAACGGAAAGGCATATTGAAATTTCACAGAATTCAAAATCTTGACTTTACTCCAAATAATCAGACTTTGCCTTAAAGTGCTACAGATTGAGGGGAGTTCTGTTTCCACTTTTCTTCTTATAGGATGGTTCCTGCTAGTTCAGTTTCCGCTAAACCCAACGTACTCTTCTCTTTTGCTTTATTTCCAAAACATTGTCATTACCCTTAGAAGGAGGGCCTCTGACTTGAGACTAAAGGCAAGTTCACTCCTCTCAGTGTCTTAAGGACACAACGACCTCCTGGGAAATACTCACGTTATCTCACCTAGGAAGTTTACTTCAGCATGGAAGTCTGCATGATTGATGGGAAATACTGGCTTTATGTTTATGCAAAGCCTTTCTCTTCTAAGGAAATGTAGTCAATTCTGACTGTATTCTTTACCATCAATCCTGATGACTACCTTAACGGTCACCATAGAGCCTGCATCCAGTAACTGATGGAAGCAGATGCAGAGATCCATAAGATACCTAAAGCCCTGGGACATGCTCCCCCAGTCCAGTCAAAGACAGGAAGGAAGGCTTATATGAGCAAGGGGTCAAGATCATGCTGGGAAAACCCACAGAAACAGCTGACCCCGAGCAAGTGGGAGCTCACAGACTCCAGACTGACACATGGGGCACTTGCATAAGGGTGAACTATATCTTCTCTGAATGTGGGCCACAGCTGTGTGGCAGTCTGTGGGGACCATTGGCAGTGGAGGGGGCAGGGCTTGGTGCTGCCTCAAATGATGTGACTGACTTTGTTGATTCCCCATGGGAGACCTCACCCTCTCTGAGGGGGGATGGGGGGGAATAAGGTGGGGAGAAGGTGGAGAGTGGGAAGATGGGAGAGAGAGGGAACTGGGATTGGTAAGTAAAATAAGATTGTTGCTTTAACAATAAGAAAAAAATCGTTCCTGAAACCTCAAATTAACTGCATTTACCACCTTCTGTCCTAAACTTTCTCTCTGAACAGACAACTTAAGGTCCAGCCTCCTCGCCAGTGTAAATGTAAATACTGCCTCCAAAAGCCTGAAACTTAACAGCATAAATAGGGAAAGCTGACACAAACACAGCATGTAATGTGAAATACGTATTATGTGTAATGTTTACATTAAGGATATGTAATTCATATTATACATGTATATAATGCAAATTAATTCAAAGTAGCTTTCAGGTCCTATTAGTGTAAAATTGGATTTGTCAACATGCGTAACAGAATAGCATTTACAACCGTAAGCCTACTTTGGAAACACAATTCATTTCTTATACATGTAGTCAGTACATTAATTACTTCAATAATTTGAGCTTTACTATATCTCCAGACACGCATAATAAAAATTATATTAGCTTCTGATAAAAAATTCCCTTAGCCAGCTAGGAATAAACAGCATCTTAGACAATTAACAGCATAATGCTAAGTGTTTACAGGAATTACATCAGGAGGAGGCATCAATGCATACAGAAAGCAAGACGCGCTGAACGGCTCACTGGCCGGTGAGGTAATGCTCTCTGAGTAATTGTCTCTGGCAGCAGCAGAACCATGTACAGCAGTAGAAAACTTTTTTTAAAAAAGAAAACCAGAGGACAGCAGCCGGCTGAGATAAATGACACTACCGTCGCAAAGTGTGAACGCATTTCACTGGTGATGTCACTTCATACCCTTCAATTAAAGCAACGGGCATGAACTATTCAAGAGGACAGGAGATGTCAAAACATCATGTACAATATGAGTATTCTGCAGGAAAAATGTGAATATATAGAGAGAAAATAATATACCTCAGCATTTTAAATCCTGCTTTCCTGTCACTCAAGTCAGTTTTTAAAAATTTCTGCCTTATAACTGCCTATGGCATTGGGCTCTTTGCAAACAGCATGCTTTTTATACTGTAGGGGAAAAATGCCAGAGCCGTGTCAGTGTTTCTGAAAGGTGAGACCTCCCATGTCGAGTGGGAAAGACACGTGCCTATTTTGTTCTCCAAAAGCATTCTGGGAGCACCTGTTAGAGAACTCAGCACACTGAGTCAGGAGTACTGATTGATTTTCAGTCCTCTGGCTAACAAAAAGTTCAATTGAGAGCCCTCCACCCCTGTGCCAGGCACAGGACCCTGCACACAAAGGATGCCCAGAGGATCTGACTCTGGTTTCTTAGCTTGAATCCAGGGATTCCTTTATCCCTCTCTGGCTGCCAGATGCCAAGCAAATATTAAC